AGGCTGCGTGGAGACTCCTGGGAGGGGTGGGGTGAGCGGGGTCAGCCAGGAGTGGGATTTGGGGGTTCTCCGAAATGCACAGAATCTTAGCTAGAGGTTCTCCTGAACCCCTGAAAACTCCCCAGCAGCCCACACCCGCGTTAATTTGGGTTAGGGGTTGGAGATAAATTCACCTCATCCCCATCCCTCTCCTCCAAAGTACTGCTACTATTGTCTCTCCCAGCTGGTTAAAAGTGGCACGTTATTGTTATAGGGTGCAGAATCATAGCCCCCCCCCTTCCCTCCCCCCGCAAAATGGGGCTGTGGGAAGAAGAGCAGGAAGCAACACCACTTGGAAGGAGCCCAGCGATTTCTCCAAGATGCCAGTTATTTGGCATGCTATGAAACACAGCTCTGCTTCATAACAATGGACCCCCATAAGACAAATACCCAACAGCATGGTGCTTCTGGAATACGATTAAACCTCACACAAATACTGTTTTTTTCCCCTACCAAAAAAATGCTGATCAAAATTGTTCTCTGGGGAGCGGCCACTGAACAATGGGTAGAACTTGCCCAATTCCCAGCCTACCAAACTCATAGAGTACATTTTGTCCTCCAAGCTTATGAATTAATCGCAGCGCTGCTGTTTTTTTTTTGCACGGCATGGGTTACGGCTGAACCCTTCGTAGAGGAGAGCCGAGAAAACACAATGCTCATTTCCCCCCTTCCCCCCCACCGGCGACTTCTATCTTCAGGATGATCCCTTCTGTCCAACCCCCCCCCATTTTTTTTTAGTTTAAGAAATCACCTGAGGGCCTTTGGAAACAACGCCCTTTTATTTTTTGGACGTATCCGAAGTTGCGTGAGAGTTTGCCATCGCTCACGCTCCCTTGTAAATCACCCTTGAACAGTAGTAACCCGAAAATAAAAAAAAAATAAAAAACTCAACAAGGCGTCTGGTTTCGATTTGGAGGCAAAGGCTTTGCCAAAGGCTGTGATTGATTCTAAGACCACCCTTCGGTAAGGCAAGACTTTGCTGGCCAGATTACCTTAAAGCACTTTGTGGGTTCTCCCAAGCTCACCACGTGGGGCATTGGCAGCTGGAATCCTCTCTCTCAGTTCCTGCCTGCCAGCCAGACCCTGAGAAGGCAAGGCAAGCCCCTCCCCAACATTGGGTCAGGCTACAGGAGGCTCTACTACACACTGCCTGGGTGGTTGCTCTAACTCAGGGGTGTCAAACGAGATTTCATTGAAGGTTGCGTTTGAACTTGGTGGGCCAGGGACTATAGAAAATGAAAAGATAGATAGATAGATAGATAGATAGATAGATAGATAGATAGATAGATAGATAGATA